TCCTGCTGATTTTCTTTGCCAAATGCAGGAGGAAATTGTCGATGAGACAGATGTATACGTTGATGTACATAAAAGGTAACATTGGACCCTGTTTGCACTTCACCTTTCTTATTTAAAGTCTGAATCTGATTCAACAACTTTGAACTGATCATGACTTCTTCAGGATACGTGTGGCTGCTGCTGCCGCTGCATCATCCGTTGCACGTGCTCCATCAAATCGGAGATTGATTGGTCAAAAACCTGCTGTAAGTTATCAATCATTCGTTTGTTCATTTTTTCCTTATTGTTCATGTCATTCATCTGTGCGGAAAATGTAACCTCATGCTATGATACTTTCCGTTGTTATCTGCAAAGTAAAGCCATCTTGTGTCGCAGAAGGAGTAAAACTTTTTTTTTTTTTAACGAAAAGAAAAGGAGTAATTAGTCTCTTTCCAATTTAGCTTTCGTTGCTGTTAACTGATCCAAAACTAGGATGATCTCTGCTTATATTTTGGTTGTCCTTCAGGGAGGTCAAACTAAGCAAGGGCAGCCCCCAAAGAAGGCTATGGAGGATGACGGACAATCTGTTAGGTTTGCCGGCGAATCGAATCAACATATTTTAGGTGATAAGAGATGACTTACTGAATCACAATGGATTTCTCAGCAAAAGAAAAATATTAAGAGAGAGAGAGAGAGAGAGAGAAGAAGAAGAAGAAGAAGAAGAAGAAGAAGAAGATCATGTGGGTAAAAATGACCCTCAAGTTGCAGAATCTTACATTTTTGTTTTTGTTTTGTTTTTAATTGTAAGCTGTAACCCCTTGTAATCTTTTTGATCCTGGTCGTGTAGATTTAGTATATGCATGTTTCAAGTCTTATAGTTATGTTCATTACAAATCTTGAACTAGGTCCCCTCTGTAACAAGTTTAATAAACATTTTAGTTAATGTGGGAGTTCTTCGAAAGAATGTGATATTCTTACTTGCTTCATCTTATGAACTTTCTGGTCATATATGTAACCAAAGACCATACATCAACGTTTTGTCGGTGTTTTTCTCTTTATTAAGATTGAATTCTGCGCAGACTTAAAATCTAAATTAAAACATTTCTCAAATCTTATAGTATGAATTGTCGATATATTCAATTCGCCTTAAATAGCGTATGTATTTCTTTAAGTGGTGCTACAAAGAAATTTTTATTGTAAGGTATCAAAAGATACATGGATAGGACAATTTTTTAAGCCTTTAATCGCATATGTGCTAAGGTATGAAAAAGGCTCGTCCGTAGGGTTTTGTTTTGAACAGTTCGAACTTCGATCTATGCTGGTTTTGTCAGTTTTACATGTTTTTTAAAATTTATTAAGATATAAATTAAATTTAATATTGAAAACATGCGCTACTTTAGTATAATTCTATTATAGAAACTAGAAAGCTTTTTTTAAAATAATAATAATAAAACAAAAAAAAGTAATAATTCAAGAAAAAAATTTGCGGTTAAAAAAATATACTCTATCGTAACGTATTTGTACAAATATAACAATGAAAAAAATGATGACAAAGTGGGAAAGCGCTAGGAAAGTCCCAAGTGAACTTTTTTCTTGTTTAGCTATATGTTGAAGGTTCGAATTTGCACCGCCAAAATCAAAGGACAATGATTTGCAAAATATGAAGACGTGAACACGAATCATCACTAAAGCAACGTCAATCCACATCCATGGTGACTTGACCAAAATACCCTCGCATAAAGTCCATATCGACTCTTATAACCCCAACTTCCTTAGCTGCCTAGGTTTGCTCGCCCTAGCCGACTTTATTTTTCTTTTATTTTTCGTTTTCCTGAGAATCGAACACTACAAATACCGTACAATTCCTGATCTCTTCCCTCTCTCCCGCTGAAACAAAAGGTCAGTGCTTGCCTTCTGTTTTCGATGTCATGAAACAAAGCGAAACGCATGAAAAGTTTCTTAAAATTCGTGTTTTTTTCGCCAATTCTCTCGAAGGGCAATTGAGAATCGATTAACTTTCATTTTAAATTAACTTTTTTTTTTTTCCGGTTTTCTTTATTGTTTTATTCCTGGCCAGAAATATGATTGGAGAATTCTGTATTTTCTGTAATCGAATGTGCTTATTGGTGTTTTCGTGTTCCTCTCATTGATGGTGAATTGTTTGTGTTTTCATCATCACTCAAATTAGTGAAAATAAAAAACCCGATTTATTTTTAATATCAGTTTTTGTCATTAGGGTTTGGTGTTTTATGATATGTTTTAATTTTTTTTTTTGTCTTATGCAGATTGAAGGCTCTGATCATGGGTTTCAAGTCGGTTTACCGCTGTTTGCAGGAGGTTTTTCCTCAGGTATATGGGTATTAAATAGAAGCAACAATAGAAATTGATCACATATTACGCATTTATAGTTGCCCTTTTGTTTATGTAATATAATTCTGTTCCCCTTTTGGGTATAATGTCGAATTTCATACAATTCAGAAGTCTATTTCTCACGAGAATTATTGCTAAATTTTTGGTTAGGAACTCATAATATAATATCAATTCTTGTGAAATTGTGGCTACCAGTACTTTTCACGTCATGTATTTGTTTTCTCTCATTTGTCTCAGAAGCTTTAAAGTTTCATGAATCCATAGGACTTTTAAGCTAGGTTCGTTTGGTACGAGGATTCAAATCATGGTGATTCTAATCATGATTCTAGAACTAGAACCATGATTCATGATTTTGGGTTCAAATCATAATTCTGAAACCATAATTCAGAATCAGAGGTTTGAATCACCTTGAATCAAGAGGGGAGGTGGTTTTAGAATCATGATTTGAGCTGGTTTAAAACATCACATCAGATTCTGAATTATGATTCAGAATCATCCAAACCAAACACTGATTCTGAATCGTGATTCAGAATCACTGTAAACAAACACTGATTTTGAACCAGGATCCAGAATCATGATTCTGGATCTATCTACCAAACGCACCCTAAGAGATTTTGGGTCAGAAAAGAAGATTGATAGGTTCATTTTTCAAATTATTTCTTGGGTCGCAATTAATGTTGGTATTATTGGAAATAAAAAGTTGTTTTAGTGGAGAAAAAGGTTGACATGTGTTTTAGCAAAAGTGAGGACGATGACTTCCCAATGCCATTATCTTGATTCCAATTTTTTTTAACTTGTTCAATTTAGTTTACCTCTTTTAATTGTAGACTGTAATTTGTTTCTTTGTAGATTGATGCTCGCATTCTTAAGGCCGTTGCTATTGAACGTTCAAAAGATGCGGATGCTGCTGTTGATGACATTTTGACTGAAGTTCTTCCTTACATGACTAGACAGTCAGCTTTCCTTACCAATTCTCCTAGAGGTATGTAAAATGGAAATCTTTATTTAGTTTCTCCCTGTAACAGCCTCTCCTTTTCATTATAGATTACTCAGTTGATATGATTTATCTATTTATTTTTCTTTTTCATCAAATAAACTGGCAACTGCAACTTTTCTGCCTCTAAAATGATAAACATCTTTCTTTGCATTTACTTAAATAATCTATTAAGGCAGTCTTCACTTCTCTGATTGAGATGTAACATGTGTTTACATAAATACGTTTTTTGCCTATCTTTTAGTTGAAATTAAGGAGAATCATTCCTTGTTGCTGTCCCATCCTACAGCTGAGGTGTCAGAAGCTGGACCTTATTCAGAACCTAGATCTCCTATTCGTGAAATTGCAGAAGATATCACTCATCTGAAGGAGGTAGATGATGCAGGGTCTTGTTCAGAGCAAAAATGCACAATTGTTGAAAATGCTGAGATTAGTGGCCGTGGAAATGGTGCCACACATGCTGACCTCGTACATCGGGATGAGGTGGTAGATGTAGGGTTTGCCTTAGAACCAAGATTCATTGCTGGTGAAGATGTGGAAGATTGTCTTCGTACAGTGCCTTCTTCAGAAGGAACATGCGCTGCTGTTGAAAATGCTGAGAATAGTGGTCGCAGAAATGGCGCCGCACATGCTGACCTCACACATTCGGATGAGGTGGTAGATTCAGGGCTTGGCTCAGAACCAAGATTGAATGTTGGAGAAAATGTGGAAGATATTGCTCATACAAATGGTGTTTTTCAGACTGACAACATGTCAAGAAGAGTTGTTCAACAAATGGGAATGGGGCCTTCCAGTTCTTCTTCAGAACCGAAATGCACTGCTGTTAAAACTGCTGATTGTAGTGGTTTGACAAATAGTGGGTCACATTCTGACTTGATACATCTTGATGAGGTTGTAAAGGCAAGGGGTTCTTCAAAACTGAGTTCCTCTAGTGGTGAAAATTCCAGAAATGGTGATCGTTCATATACTGCTTTTCCTGTTGATCTCACACGTCTAGATGAGGCGGTGAATGAATCCAAGGTTTCACGTTCCCATGTTTCAAATGATATTGACGATGAATTAGGTAGAAACACTATGGATGAGGAACTGATTTTACTGGGGAAGACTTGTGAAATGAAAAGGGTGCTGGAGCTTGGTCAGGATTCAACCTCTTCACGACATGAAAAAGATGGCTGGTTGAATGACTCAGACCATGAAGGGAAAGATTTTGGCTATTCCATGGCTAATGATGTTGATCAGTTTAGCCACGAAAGAAGCTGCAAGTTAGATTCATGTGCAGAAAACTCTACAGAATGCATTATTCCATCTGAATTTCATTTTGATCCTCCTGTCGATGATAATCAGGAATTACAAGCAAGTGGTTCTTCGAATCTTACTTCCAGGACAGATTGTTCTGTCAGTGAAATGGGCACCATTGAGGATGATTTTACCAGGAACAGCGTAGTTACCCAATCTGGTCAAATATGCAGAATCGATATTCTTGATGAAATTATTGAAGATGCCAAGAACAATAAGGTATTGATACCATAGAACATAGCTTGAGAACTGCAATGGTGCAGTTCCTTGAAATTGAAAGCAAAAAGGGAATTCCTTCACTGTATTTAATCTCCATCTTCTTGTTTTAATGCTCTTAAAATAGGATTAGAAAATCAAATCAAATTTAGTAATTAGTACACTTACCATATAATACACTTTAGACGCCTTTTACCTTTCTGTTCCCCCTTTAAAGGATGGCAAAGTTCTTATTCACTTGACAATGGTACAGAAAATTTTGTTTTCTGCTATGGAGTCCGTCATAAACATGATGAAGGAAGTGGAACTCCAGGAGAGAGCTGCAGAGCAGGCAAAAGAGGAAGTTGCTAACGGAGGGCTGGACATTCTAACGAGGGTGGAGGAACTGAAACAAATGCTGGGACACGCAAAAGAAACAAATGACATGGTTAGATAATGTTCAATGAGATTTTGCTGTTGTCAAGAATAAACTGATCTTGAGTTGACCCCTTTTTTTCCTCTCCTCTAAGGACATGTGCTTGAAGCTAAGTATACATCTGCTTTTGCAGCATGCAGGAGAAGTGCATGGAGAGAAGGCCATTTTAGCAACGGAAATGAAAGAGCTTCAATCTCGACTTCTGTGCTTGTCAGATGAAAGGGATAAATCACTAGCAACCCTTGATGAGGTCCCTATTCATCACCTCTGTGTATATGTATTTAAAACACACAAAATTCATCATAATCATTATCTATTCAAATATGCAGATGCGCCAAACCCTGGAAGAAAGGCTAGCTGCGGCAGAAGAAATGAAGAAAGCAGCTGAGCAAGAGAGGCTAGAAAAGGAAGAATTGGCACGTAGTGCTCTTGCTGAGCAAGAAGCCATCATGGAGAAGGTGGTTCAGGAGTCAAAGTTATTAGAAAAGGAGGCAGAGGAGAATTCCAAGGTACCAACCCTCATTTGTTTAATAAGAAAACTTCCTTTTATTGATGATCACATCAATGACGAAAAAAGACCTTATTTAGCAACTTGCTTTTGTTAACCATCTACTTAAAGTAAATATGAAACTAACAATTTAGTTACCCATTCTTTTATGTTGCATTTGCAGTTGCGGGAGTTTTTGGTGGACCGAGGTCGCGTTGTGGACATGTTGCAGTAAGTTTTCATCTTCACTTGGGGAAATCACGATATCGCGGATTTATCTATTGCTTTGCATTTGTCAGTTTTCATTTTCCTGTTTGAAGGAGATAAGTAGTCGAGACTTGATTACTTAAATCTTTTGGTTCATCCCAATATAACGGTTTGAGCTTTATCTTAAATTGTTTTACATTTCACCTTATTAACCCGTGAAATTGCGTTTTTGCAGAGGAGAAATCTCTGTAATATGCCAGGACGTTGGTTTGCTGAAAGAAAAGTTTGACATGCGTCTTCCTTTAAGCATGTCTGTTTCCTCTAGCCAGACCAGTTGCAAATTAGCTTCGTCAAGCTCATCCGTGAAAAGTGTGACATCTGTCTTGGTTCCTGGGGAAAGAGAATCGCCTAAGAGCCCGGAAAAGGGTAGTCCGGTTTCGTCGACCAGTGACCAAAGCAGAGCCGATGATGAGTTCAAGGTGAATTCTGATGACAAAGAGCTTCTAGAAGACGGGTGGGATATCTTCGACAAATATGCAGAACTGGACGTTGGGGCGGGCATATCTCGAGAATAAGAAGGAAATCATGAAGACACTGCTTTTTGTTTTACTTAATAGGAGTCCGTATAAAACATTGCAGATGAATAAAATTTTCCATACTTTATAAGTGCACGTCTTCCTCCTTGAGAGGTGATGACCATTTCTAGATTTAGTTTGTATAGTACGTATTTTGAGACTATAAATGAAGCATACGAGTAGTGAAGATTTTGTGTTATGGCGGTTTTCTCTCTCTGTCAAAGCAACATTATTATGATTGATACTAAACATCGAACGGTTGCAATTCTTGTTCATTTTGGTCCTTATTTTCATTCTAGCATATGTAGGAAGCTCCATTTGCTAAGAAGCGGACAATTTGAGCAGCACTTGTTGAGGTAAATCATACATAACAAACTTCTGAACTCTGGAGATAAACTTCAAAGAATGTTAGTGATACAAAATGGAAAAAGGAATTTTGGTATTTGACGTCCGTGAACATTTTGGCTTTTTATTTTTTTTGAAATGAACAACATTTTAGCATCTTATATATATATATATATATA